ATATTTGGCAAGTTTAGAAGAATCGCAGTGATGGAAGAATGTTTGACATCCGGCCAAGATTTTGTCTTTCAGCAAGATGGTGCAGCGTGCCGTAACTCAAAAAAGGCTATAAAATGGATGGAAGAAAATAATGTACCACTTTTGAAATGGGTTTCTAGCAGTCCAGATCTGTCACCTATTGAAACTTTGTGGCACGAGATGAAAAAGGTTCTACGACAACATCTTGCTCGTACAATCACCGAACTGAGACAAAAGCTTCAAGAAATATGGGATTGTTTTACTCCAAATTTTTGCCAAAACTTGGTTAACACTATGCCCCAAAGAATTTCAGCCGTAATAACAAATAAAGGTGATGTTACCCAATGGTAATCTTTCAATTGTTGCTTTGTTAACTTCGCGCATTTATTCGCCCATTGCTTATTTGTTCAGATGTTCTATTAGTTATAGGTCTAAGTGATTTCAAATATGCATTTTTTACGACTAGAGTGTATCTAAATTGTTTTTGAGAAAATAAATTGTTTTAGAAGTAAATAGTTTCGTCATGTTTAGTTTGTAAAGGCATATTTTGGTACAAATCTTGAAGTGGGCCAACTGAAGTGGGAAGCTGCTCGTACTACCTGCTTGTACGATAAAAATGTCCTGTAGTCATGATACAAATACGCATAACCATAACATATATCATGTAGTATTACCAGACCCCAAAAAGAAATATTTACTTAATTTTTTCAGTATTAAGACCCTAATTATAATTGGTACTGCACAAATTACGTATTTCAAAATTTGCAAAACATCTCAAACAGAAATTCGAGGAACTAGTAATACAGCTTTCGGCCATGGATGGTCAACCATAGGCAGCTGTTTCCTGCTATTTGGCTTGGTCTCGGGTGGAACAATGAACGAAACCTAAGCAGCTCTACTCTTTTCAAAGTATAAGGTGACACTTTGTCCTGTCTTATTTCGAGAAATTGAAGGGTTGGATTTCAACCGTTTATCGAATGGTTGTACAAAATCTCATCGAAAATTGATTCTGTACATTCATTTTGGGATGTTTACAATTACCCCAGTTAGCACTAGAGCGCATGCGCGTATCGCATATGTCATCCAGTGTGACATAATGTCGTCCCTTTTTACAATACGGTGAGCCATATTGCTGTCCTTCCATGCACTTCTCTACAAAGAATCCTCGCAGCTGGCAGTGGCGTGCCGACACCAGCGCGAAACTGACGTCTCCGTCAATTGCCAAGATGTATTATAATAAGGTAGGTGCTCTCTAGTGTTTTAATGTATTCATATATCTGTTTATCTATGCAAATTATTTACTTACAATTTTATATTATTGTAGCACAGAAATGTATATTACCTAAATTTTCAGTACTATTCAATACTTTTACTATATAAAAAAATATAATTATACATTTTTAGGATCATCCTACGTCTTCTATGGATATTGTTCAGTATTTATTTTGTACAAATATCTGGGATGTCCTGCATGTGTATAGGTAACCAAGGAGACACACCTATTGCAGTACTGTAGAAATTGAAAACCCATGTAATTGGGTTTTTAATTATGTTTATAGCAACTTGTTGCAATACTTACTGTGCCCCCCGCATTATACTAAAACTATTCAAATGGTAAGTCACGGCTTTAAATATTTAAATGTCGGCGGCCTATTAGCAAATAATAGATATGAGGTATAAGAGAAAGCTGCTTGTATGCAGGTATCTATTCAAGTATTTTGTCACTGTTCTAGAAGATGAAGCAGATACCGGTAACAACGGAAATATCTCATTAGATGTGAACTTGGACGTGCAATCCATAATAACAAAATTAGAAGTAGATATCCAACAAAGTAACTTGGATTATGATGATCTGTAAACATTTCGCTTTTATTTCAGTTATGCTCAAGGTTTCCACTACCGCGTTTATTCCGATGATTCTAGTTAGATTTCCAAGGATACTTCCGTACATGCCAAATTTATGTTAATTTAAAATAAACTAATAGTCTACGACAGTTTGGAAAGAGAACAGTCAATTTGATTACTGGTAAGCGATCCTAATTGCCACACTTAAGATATTAATGTATCACAATTGCAGCTATGTAACTCTATTGAGATTTTTACACATGACGTGCATAAGTGACTTGACCAAAATGTTGGTCGTTGCCTTAGATGTTCTAGAAGCGACGTAATCACGCGAAGAAAGCGGAGGTGCATTAATAGTAATTTGCGCTAGAATATCTAGGGTCGATCATGCCATGTAATAATTTGAAGAGAAATATTGCAGATGAAAACCGTTTTCTGTACTCTAAGCATTGAATTTCAAAATAAACCCACGGGTCTGCATTGTCAAGTTCTTGCTCAGTACCAACTCCCTCAGACTTGATATAAAGAATTTTAAGGAACCTCATTTGAACCTTTTTAGTTTCGCTTATATAAATTTGGTTATACGGGCGCCTTATAATCGTAATACAAAATATAATACCTTCAAGTCCTCATTTTGTGAAATTGCCAACAATTCCTGCCAAGAATTCTTTGAGAAGTAGGTGGAGCAAACGTTAATCTTCAGAATACCCAGATCTCTGACTGTATCACATATATCCATAAACGCACCATCAATATTATGTAAACTAAACTAGAAGGGTTTTTTATTCTGTAACAAACATGCACTTGCTATTTAGCTGAAGACAACTACGATTATGACGAAATTAACGTATTTTCGAAAAAGCATGAGAGCCCGGTTTCTATATTTACGTGATGTAAAATGTAAAAAAGCACCATGAAAGTTCAATACATCAATAACACCTTATGTAATGACATAAGGAGAACATTGTTTGCACGTACGTAAAATAACATGTAAATAATCAAAACTATACAACTATCCGACAGATTATAAGTTATGAGGAAATTACAGAACAAATTACAAACATTTTGTATGTGTACAGAACAGTCACCCTAAGCAAACGAAAAATGTCTAAAAGTGTGAAAAGATGACGTAAACATAAAAAATCATATTATTCTCTGCAGTTAATGGTCTATCAAGGATGGTGTTAATTAGGCACTTTATGATCAAGAGAAGCAGAACTTAATTTTTTATACGCTTGTAGTGGTATCATAACCAAATCTGGTAGAAAGCCAAGATGATAAACGTCTTTATTAATCTCATTAAAGTGGATAATTGGACGAATAGATTTCCGGAAAGAATAATAAAATATATGAACAGAATTGGCGATGATGTGCTTATTTGACACTCTTCATTACTTCAAATAAAATGTCATTCATCCCAATACAAATGTTTCAAAGATCTAGCATTACTCAGTTTGTTGATGCTACCAGTGATACGGGTATTACTTAAGCACTACAGGGGCAGCGGGGTTTTCGCTTTGCTTATTTTTCATGACATGGGGGAAGGGGTCGGTTTGGATGGTAATTACGTCAGCAATATTAATTTTTTGGAGTTTCTTCAAAATCAGTCGATTTTGAACACATATTTGAAATCTTCCCACTAGGGATTTATCGAAAATACTGATTAAAAGAAAAAACGCCGAGACACGTTAAAATATTTGTCAAGGTGGACAACTTTTTAACCAAAAACTACTTTACCCCCTTTCACCCTCTGCCCGGCAGGATCATCCTCTTAAAAGTTTTAAATGACAAAGGGTAATAAGTAATATCTTATGTGAAAGGTCTTCGAGGTCGTTTATTTTGACGTTTGATTTTTTGAAATCGTTCGATTCGTTTTTAAGAAAATTAGAAACTTCTTCAATTTTTATCTCAATTTGTTCACATAGAAAACAAAATACACGTATACACGAAAATGTCACTTTTTACTTCAATAAGAGTTCAAAATGTTGCCCGTTATTGGCCAAACAATTGTATAGGCGATGTTTAAATTCCTGACGGACGTTTTCAAAAACATGCTGTGGGATATCATCGCAGCTTTCGATGATTCGTTGACAATCTTTTAGGTTGGGGAGTAAACACAATAGATTACTAATTGCCCGCTACAAAAAGGTCTAATGGCATCAAATCCGGTGATCTAGCAGGCCGTTCCATAGGCCCCCTTCGCCCTATCAATTAACAAACATTTAAATGGATCCAATTCCAATGTTCAATGGAAACTGATGGTTATCACGTTACTGCAGAGTATGTTGAGTCCGGTGAGACAGATTTTCCTGATTTTTCAGATATTAAAAAATAGTAACATACATGTACCAAAATGTCTACGTAAGCGTGAGGAAAATATGTGAAAGACAAATTAGCTTGTTTGATACTTCCCATAAACTGGATAAACTACAACGACTATGTACAGTGGCACAAAAAGGCAATAACGATTTTGAGACTGTATTAACTAACTTGATGGAAGTATATTGAATGGATGAAGTGATAGGCTCAAAGCTTGTATAACAACATTAATACATATAACAGAAGAACATATGAGCCACTTGTTGGAAACACCTGCTGATAGTCTAGTAATATTCGACCAGTGATCGCTAGTCTTGGATAGCTGTTTCGTGCTATTTGGCAACTCTTCAGTATGTTGTCGGCTTGGTCTTGGTGAACAACGCACGAAAGCTGAGAAACTTTACGCTATTCAGAGTATAAGATCACGATAGGCTCTGTTAAGCATTATTACTACGAAGATAAACGTGGTATATGCTCCAGTGTTGTATACTATTTGATTACTATTCCCTATTAGAGTGTTTTCTAAGCACCTCAGTGCATTAATGGATTACGCTGAAAAGATTGTTCCATTGTTTTGCCTTACTTGTGAATTATTTTTTATTATCTCTTTAACTCTAGATGATACTTCTTTAAATTCTGGGTTTGGAGTGGAAAGTGAAAGCAAAAAGAGGAGGTAAGACTTGAGGAGTGGAAATGCACCTGCGCAAAGGGCTATATTATGAAATACACAATACATATTTCCACCCTTATGCTCTAATGCTGTAAAAAGTCACCGATTGACATTTTTTCAGACCTGCTTGTATTACTCAAGAATATGTCATATACTGACAAATCAAGGGTCAGGATGCTGTTCCAGAATAGAATAATTACAGTGTAAGGAAAAAAGGAAAGTTATTAGAGGAAAAAGAAAAGTAAGTAAGATATTTAAATTGAATGATATTTTAAAAAGTATGACACTTACAGGGAATTTACATTAACTTTTCGAAGATGATTTTTCAAGACCTATTTACAAACGTGTAATTTTGAAAAAAAATCCATATGTAGTATACAACATAATTAACATCATAATGCGGAAAAGTGTTATATAAAATAGTTATAACTAATAAGAAATGAGAAACTTATATTATCTTTATGACTTAAAGGTACCACTAATTTCAAAAAATATGGATCGGTATGAAGCCAAAAATCATATACGATAAAATTGAAGCTATAATACCAAAGCTTAATAATTCTTAATCTACTTGAAAAAATATTGTAACTACTAACAATACTATATACAAGAGCTAACTGAAAACTTTTGTGTCAAAACCAGCAAGCTCTGCTTTTTATAAAGGTGTTTTAAATATCAGACCTATTAGATTTTTAATCATTTTTTCTCAATCGGGAAATGTTTTCCCTTCCTAATCAACAGTTTCCTTGAATTTTTTCTTTTATATTTAGAAAATAAAAATAAATTGCTAAATTTCTACTCTTTATGAAGAAGATTACATGTAAATACATAAGGAAATTCGGTGAAGAAAATAAATGAAATAAGAACTATCACACTATATATAATCACCTACATAAGCCTGTAATGTGTAAAGTTACAAAACAATCAACAACTTCTTGATTTGAGATTAAAATTTCTTAATAAAATAATTGGAAAAGAAAGTTAATTTATGTTTCCTTATTGTTTTGGCATATATCATAATATGCTACCACGTTAATATATGGCGCAACACAATCTATAAATACTACATTGTTCTTTGAGTTCGTTCATTAGCGCGTAGTCAATACTATATATCTAGACTGTCTCCTAGACTGCAAGAATCTCTTGCCTTTTTTTACAACTGTTAGCTATCAACACTGTTCGTTATCTTGTAAAAAATGTGTGAACTTATACGCGCCTTCAACTTGGATACAGGTCATTATTAAGCACATATAGGATATATCAAAAATGAGGTTATGGAATCCAAACAGTATACTTTTGTCCGCCATATTTGTATATGACTGGCGATCTCTTTCTCGAACCCTACCAACCAGAAACTTTACATAATAATCAAGAAATGTACTCACGAACAGTGGCACATCGGTGGGCTTAACGACCCCTCCATTCCTGATATGTCCTCCCGCCGCAGTTGCTCGCACCCCGTAATACTGCTCCCACACGCTGGGCTTCTCGTCGTCCACCGCCCGCAGCAGGCTCTTCTTGGGCGCCGCGGACGGCTGTTGGGCGGCAACGGCTGCCCCGTTAGCGCCCATCAACGTGTTGCGTGCGCCCTGCGACATGGCACCACCCATGGCGGACAAGTCGTCGTGCACGAACACGGTGCGTGGGATGCCGGCAGGCGACAGCTCCTTGGCACTCTCGCTGCTGAAGCCGCTGCTCGACGATCCTGATGGCACCTGGAACAATATAATTTTTTCTAAAACCCTCCAGAAGACCCTATATAATTTAGATGAAGCGAAAACCACGCATACGTAGTAGAACAGTTCGACCACGACGTTTTTAGTTTCCACGCCTACTGGCGAGTAAGTATAGTAATCGTGTAAAATCTCGAAAATGAGGTATTATGTTTCCTTGTATGTTATATCTGCGACAAATGTATAAAAGGGCACGTCAATTTTTTCGACTGATGACATTTTTACATATAGTTGAGAGGATACCTAGATGAACAATTCAGAGAAACTGTATATGTAGATATATACACTACCACGCAAAATTAACCGGTAAACAAAATTTTGTTCAAATTAAATTTTAAATAACTTGCCATAAAAATGCACAAATACTTGAAACAATTTCTTACCCGGCAAAACCTGCTTGAAAAAATTTCTTGTTTATTACTATGGTTCGCATTATTTTCTTCAAAAAGGTATATATTCTTCAATAATTGAGATATTGACATGCGTAAAAAAAAGAAATGTTGAGAATGGTTGAGGCCTAAAATGGCCATACAAAGACACATTATTTAGTGATTCAGTGTTTCCACAGGGTGTTCAGAAGTATAGGGCAAAATCTACCTTTTAATTACACCCTGTATAACAACAAACATTTCCAATATTTTGCAAGATCGGCAATCAATAATGAAGACAATGAAATTACCTGCAATTTGTCGAGAAAATTAACAAAACTGATGCATAGGTTAAAAGGATATTTCACATTTAATTTGAACAGAATTTGTTTGTACGGTTAATTTTGCGTGTATGAAGGAAATGTCATTAAAATCATAATCAAAGTTGAAGCTAGGATCAAGTACGTCTAATATGCTTGATAAAAAAGTATCAATTAGTTTTTATTGAAGTCGTAAATATCGACTGATGCCCCTTTAATCATTTTCTACGTATATGATATGTACATCACAAAAAGCTATGTCACACATTTCCGCCAGTCTGCCTGTTTGTCTCCGGTAATTCTTGACCAACGCTTGGCAAGTACTGCCCTGCATGGGTATCATTTAAAAAACCTATAAAACGTGAAAAATAACCTCTTAGATGTCATCTTGCAAACTAGGTAGTTTTTAGGGCGCAAGCGGTCATTCCACGTTTGCTCACTAGGATCGTTGTGAACGTCCATCTAAGGAGGAATCACTCAACCAAGCTAAACGCATTATTGGTTGCACATGCTTAGTGAGGCCAAATGGCGCTTGTCTGTAGCTTTTATCTCTGAGAAGAAAGTTGCTTGGATAGCAAGATCGCATGTGGATTATTATGTGTATTAGTCTGCATGTGTATAAAATCAGTGATATCTGCTGTTTGAGAAAATCATTACTGAATATGCTGCCATTGAAGTATATCTACTGGCTGTGCTCAATGGGTATTTTTATGTTGTGCTTTCTGAAGAGAGGTTTTGTTCAAAGTTATAGATTACGAAAAAGTGAGGAGAATTACGGGACATCATCACCGCGCCCGCGTTGTGTGTAATTGCTGTTAGCATCCATATGGCTTGTAATTCGACAGTGTATAGTGAATTATTATTTCTTGCCTCTCTCATTTTTGAAATTCAGCAAATTTGTTTATGTAATTTCCAGAATGGATAAGAAAAAGTGGATGCGCAACTAATTTCTAGCTTTGAATCTCAATTAAGTGTATTTGAGACAAGAACCCAATGTAATTATCGTATATCATACAACTTACAGGTTAGACCTCCAGTAATGCCATCTCAGAAGCATATTTTACATCACATCAGAGTCACAGATTGATAACAAGCCTCATGACGTTTAGGCAACAGATACAGCTAAGTGCTAAGTTAATATCTTGTAGAAAAACCTACATAATGTCAAAAAAAAACAGCATAATGTCAAAAAAATCGGCATAATGTCACTTTTCAAGATACGTGATACCCGTGCAGATTTGGATTAATTCTTTACACAAGATTACTACAATGCCAAGGGCGAAAAAGCTTTGTACTTTGGGTAAATCAAAAGATTCGAAAACAAATAAAAAAAATAAAAACAGCTCAAGTTTCGTTCTTTAACGTTTCAGAGGATTCTGGTTATTTTTGAAAATTCTGGGGAATATTGGGGGTGGGGGCTGAAGGGAGGTGGTTAGTATAATAATGCACTTCCAACCTCGGTAATTCTACAAACCTATTAGATATACTTCGCACGTCATCGATTTCTCCGTACAATAGCCCTTTAAACTTGAATGAGATATATTTTCAATATACGCGCCCTAGGCAACTCAACGAACGTATATCTACCGGATTCGAGGATTTACCGATATTTTCAGCAGATTTGAGAGAGACCTTCTACCGACCACTACCTGCCATAGGTGTCCCAACAGCCTTTGCGAAGTTGAGTTCCTGCCTGAAGATGTATTAATGCACCTGCGAAATCTGAAGACCTCTTCCTCCCCTGGTAAAGATGGGATGACGGCTGCTGTACTTAAAAACTGCGCTTCAGCACTGGCCCTACCATTAAGCTTGATATTCACATCGTCTTTTAGATCTCATACCCTACCCTCATGCTGGCTTATTGCTTCTGTTACCCCTGTATTCAAAAAGGGCGACAAATCCTCCGCTAAAAATTATCGACCAATAAGTCTCGTTCCTATCGCCGCCAAAATAGCTGAAAGAATCATATTAGATAAGCTCCTGTCATTTGCTTTCGAAAATGACCTTATCCCTAAGAATGAGCATGGATTTCTCCCTGGTCGATCAATAATGACCAACCTTCTCCACTCTCTCAACGATTGGACTCAGTATCTGGACACACAGACTCCTGTTGATATAATCTACTTAGATTTTTCTAGGGCCTTCGATCACGTACTACATAGAAGGCTTCTGTTTAAGTTGGAATGTATGGGAATAAGAGGCGAGTTGTTACTGTGGATTAAGGCTTTTCTCACCGGGAGGGCTTTCTCTGTGCGCGTCAGTGATAGCCAGTCTCACCTTCATCATGTAGCAAGTGGAGTTCCTCAAGGCTCTGTCTTGGGGCCAGTGCTGTTCCTTCTGTATACAAGTGACCTGCCTGCATTGATTTCCTCCACATGTTCAGCTTATGCCGACGACACCAAGATTTACAATACTGTCGTAAATTCTGCTATGCTTCAACGAGATCTTGATATTGTTTGTCAATGGTCAGTCAGTTGGCTTTTACCCTTAAATCCAACTAAGTGTTGTGTCCTTCACCTCGGGAAGACAAATCCGCGATTTACATACAAGATCTCTGACCACAACATCGAAGCAGTTTCCAGCCACACTGATCTGGGCGTTGTAGTCAAAGATCGTCTTTCCTGGTAAGAGCATATTCACCACGTTACATCAAAAGCCAAGAAACTTCTATACATGCTGGAGAGGTCTTTCAAAGGATCCGTTGTCAAGACTTGCGCCTACATTTACAAGGCATTCGTGAGGCCAATTCTTGAATTGGCTGGCTCGGTATGGGACACTGTGCTTCTGCGCGATAGAAATCTCGTCGAATCAGTACAGCGTCGGGCTACTCGTATCCCTTTTGGAGCACGAAGACCAAGCTATGAAGATCGCCTTGAATTATTCAACCTGACCTCATTCTCTGAGCGAATACTTCGTGGCGATCTTATAGTTACGTTCAGGATACTTCATGGTTTGATGGGCACCAACCTCATGCATCTATACCGTCTGTCGCGTAGCAATCTACGCGGACACAGCTTCAAACTGCATAAGGAGCCATTTAAAACAACAGTCCGACAGTGGTTTCTTCCCAACCGCATATTCAACACCTGGAATAGTTTACCTGAAAGTGTGGTTGGTGCTACTTCAGTTAATAGTTTCAAAGTGCAGTATGATAGCTGGAGGAGTGTACAAACTTTATAGCTATAAACTGTCTTTTTTGATTTTTTTCTATTTGATGTATTTGTGTTACGTGTCCGTACACTATATTTACTGCATGAGCCTATGTGTACTCTGCCCATCTCAATTATCATAATAATAATAATAATAATATTAATCTTGTTAATTTTTTGAACAATCTCAGATTTGTTTTCCACATATCAACAGGATATCGTTGTTTACATGTCATGGGTATCCAAGTCCTGACAGAAGAAATTTGTTAGAAAAACTATCTAATAACGTTGTCTAAAAAACAATAAGTTCTTGACCATAACATACTTTAACTTAATGAGGACTCGAAATTTGAGTTCGAAAACAGCGATATTTTTCGAGAAAGTATAGAAAGACTAAAAAAATTGGATAAAAAAATCGATAATTTTTTTATAAAGTGTATAAAAACCTAATAACAACATCTTCAAAAGCATATACTACTACAGATCAACACAACAATCCAATCAGTAATCACAGAACGGCAACATGCAAAAACTAGCATTGCCAATATAAGAATCGTAGCAGTCGCCCTGTTTGTATTGGTATGCAACATGTACCGCAAGTGCGAAATGGTGCCGAGACTGTCTGTTAGAGAAGAGTCATCGATCAGTATAGAGTAGGAAGTCATGTGTAGAAACGTATTTCTTAGCCCTAAGCAAATAGCCTTGCGTTTCCCACCAGCTGCCTCTATTAACGAGATATGTTCGTGGCAGATCAAGTCCTCTCAGATCTAGACTCCGACCAGTCGAAATGAACGGCTCTTTGGCAGATGTCGACCATCCATCGAAACTGGATGAGCGCTAGGACGCTTTTTATTCGTCAAGGTTCAGTTCTGGGCTTTAGAAGCATTGATAATTTCACAGGTCTTTCGTCAGAGAGGAATTCGCTGATAGTCTTCTTCTTTCCAGCTCATTAGTCAATTAATTACTGAATTTCTTGACATTATAGTGATCTGCGTCCCGGACTATAATCCTAGTAACTGTGTATCGATCGCCACCTTGCACGTAAACAAACTTATCGACTACCCACCCGCAATTCTTTCGTAGCGCTATTTTTGTAGCTATGGAAATCATAAATAAAAGGTCATGTTCTGCAATAGTTGACATATTTCTAACAGAAGTGGACAGGAGATGGACGACTTAACATCAAAATTGAATAACTGTGATACTTGTGATTGCATTCAAAACGGATTTCTGGCAAATGTAAGGGAAGAGACTGGCTCAGCGTGTGGCGAAAGTAATCGAGAAGGTGAAGAAAATGAATCTTCGGGAAATGACGGGGTGAATGAAGAAGAATACTTGAATGATAGCTTTGAGGAAGATGACGATGTATCGGATTATTATGAGCCAACACCGTCGGAGATACAAAGGTAGGCTTTTTGAGGTTAACTTTTTTATTGATATTACCCCAAGAGTTGGAAACACTGAACACGTGATTTTTTTGTGGTCGAAAAATTGCATTAGGTAGCCTCCAAAGAAAGGTTCTAATGAGCTTCTCTCTACAGTTGATAGTTTTAAGGATATAAGCAAATTAAGGTAATTCGCTAGCTTAGTTACACCAGTCGTTTTTGATGCAAAAATGATTTCAGTGCGCAAATATAAAAGTTATGGAATATTTTGCTATATGATAGATTTTCATTGAATATTTATTTTCATACGTTGTGCCAGACTTCATTACTTCATAGTTTTTCGTGTTGTTCGATATTTTGAATAATTAAATTTCTATGTATAACTGTATATCCCTACATAACGTCAAATGCACTAATAGCGCGGTCAAGGCGCGGGAAGGGATTCTGGAGCAAAAGGAGATCTGCTGCGCGTCGAAGTACGTATTTTCGTTAATTTTCTTATATTTCTTAGTATGCATATAGGATCCGTTCCATTCTGCAAATGTTGACCAAGGTGTTTATACATGTAAAAACCCAGATAATATCAAAAAAACTCTGCGACTCACCCGTTTGCGGATGTTTTTAGTTTAATTTCCATCATTTACAACCCAAACCTAATGTCTATTTGGACGGAGAAACTAAAAAGGCTGGGAAAGCTAAGCTAGATGATTACCCAACTTGACATTTAAAAAGATGCAAAATTTTAAATTTTGACTTCGAAAAACAATATGAAAAAACCAAATTTTAATGTTAGATCTTAAATTTACTTTAAGCATCCGAAAGCATTTTAGAAGATATTTTCATTAAGAAGCTTTGTTTTTTAATTGTTAATCAAGCGCTCACGAAAGATATATACTAAGTGACATATAAATCCGAACACCAAGTTTAAATGGTTTTATTTTAATAAAAGTTGGTGAATGTATTTATCTTACTGTAAATAACAAGTGAAAAAATTTTCAACCTTATCAGTTGGACATTCCGGTTTTTATACTGCTTTTTTTTAATTCACTAACGCTCTAAAAATGAATATTTCAGCCGCAGTAAAGAATCAACGTTGGCGGATTTTGGTTCTTGACATCCTTTACGATCGGTTACGATGCCTAGAGTACGGAGACCTGTACGATTTCGTCAACTTAGTGAGTTTGATAGGGGCCGTATAGTGGGACTTCGGGAAGCTGGACTTTCTTTTCGGGCAATTGCAGTTAGAGTGCAAAGAAGTGTAGACACTGTGGTTAGGTGTTGTCAGGCATGGCTTCGAGAAGGCCGTACGCAAAGAGCAAGGGGCACTGGACGCCGCCGTAGAACAACAGACCGTGAAGATCGCCGCCTAAGATTATTGGCCTTAAGGGACCGTTTCTCCACTACCAGGTCCATTGCAAATGAATGGTTTGCAGAACACGGAAGACCTATTGGCATGCGAAGTGTTTACCGACGAATGAGAAGTTTTGGCTTGTTTTCATACCGGCCACACTGGGTCCTCCCTTTAACTCGAGAACACCGACGTAATCGCCTTGAGTGGTGCAGACAACGGTCACTCTGGGATCAGGAATGGAACAGTATTGTCTTTAGTGACGAGTCTCGATTTTGTTTAGGCATGCACGATGGTCGTGCCAGGGTTAGAAGGCGACGTGGTGAAAGGAGGAATCCACAGTCTTTTGTTGAAAGACATGTTCATCACACTGTTGGAGTTATGGTTTGGGGTGCTATAGCTTATGGTTCCAGGTCAACTTTAATCTTCATCAGAGGTAACATGAACGCGCAGCGTTATATCCACGAAGTTCTAGAACCCCATCTTTTACCCTATCTTGACACCCTGGCAGATCCAACTTTCCAACAAGATAATGCCCGACCACATGTTGCAAGAGTCACAATAGACTTCTTTCAACATAATGATGTCACATTATTACCATGGCCACCAAATCTCCCGACTTATCCCCAATTGAGCACGTGTGGTATATGATGGGTAGGAGATTGCTCAATTTTCAACGTCCTCCTCAGACTCTAGAAGCACTTCGAGAGGAGTTGGTGGTTGCCTGGAATGAGATACCACAGGAGGGCATTGACCTCCTGATCAGAAGCATGCCTAGGCGCGTTGGAGAATTCGTAGCACATCAGGGTGCATCCACACATTATTAAAGGTCGAAGGGCTTTAAAGCAGTGCAATCATTTTGAAATTTTTATCATTTACTTATTATGCTTCATTAAGTACTTATACAAAATTTTATTAAAATAAAACCATTTAAACTGGGTGTTCGGATTTATATGTCACTTAGTATAGATTGAGCACGCGCTTGATTAATAATCATTGAATAACTAAAACTAACAATACTAGCAGCCCCTGAGATGCTTAAGGATTTTGTTAATAAATATTGGAAGAATATTCAGGAGTCTTGACAGCATTTAAATTTCCGTTTTCTAATATTGTTTTTTGGAAATGGCACGTTTTGCACTTTCTTGCAACTAATCGAAAAGTATGAACTTTAGAGACAAGTTCATAAGAACGACAGTTCTACAGAATGAATTAAAAAATGTAGTTTGACAATGCTTTTAGAAAATGTTTAAATTAAATATTATAACAATTATCACTCAGTTTCGGGACTGACATCAAGTTTCAGAATATTTTTTCCCTTTAGAAACTAGCACTAGAACATTGAAAACGATTTTAGCATTATATTCTTCCAAAAGTTAAAAGAAAATGAGTAATTAAGTACAATATGACACACGTTTGTATAAAACAAACTATAATGAATTTATATGGTATGAAGAAACATAAAAAAATATAGATGACCTAAATACTTAGGGATTTTAGATTTGAGCGTCAACGATAATTTGTCTAATATGCCTTTTAAAATTATTAAAATCAAAATGATTAACAATCGATGTTAATGCACTATATAGAGGTAAAGGATTTATGAGATACTGAAATTTTTTGTAAAGACATAGTCAAAGTGTCAGTGAGTTGAATATTACGAAAGTTTTTTTTTTAATTTTTCAAAAATGAAGGAGCCGGAATATGTAGGACGTTGCGAACATAGCAGCTGTTCGGAACATGAATTAATATTAATATAAATATGATAAACATTAATCTACATTATTTTTAAACTTTTTGTAGACATCTAGCTGAAACTGAATCTAGAAAAGAATTTATGACAATTCCTTCTTTTTGCTTTAAAATCAAGTATTTCTTTTCTTAACTTCAGGTGCCGTGAAATAGTAAGCCCAATTTTTAGTAACATTACTTTCATGAGAAATAAAGTTACGACTTTCATCTATAAACAAACAAAGTTTTTAACTGATTCTTCTAACTAAATAACCCGTATAAAGTTATGCTTAAATTATTTAACGTCAGGGACCTTAGTTTCTTATTAGGAACAATATTTTTTTTCACGGAAAGGATTCTAACAGTCAATTTCAACAAAGCATACTTTATTACATTTTCTTGCGGCAACAGATCTTTCCCAAATTTTAATCAACTCCAAATTAAAACGTTGAATAGCTGCAGAAACATACAATCGGTTGATAATTTCAAATACCTAGGGATATTCATAGATATCCATCTAAGTTGGAACATACATGTTGAAAATTTAGTAAGAAAATTAAGATATCTGACTCCAAACATCAAATATTTCAGCAGTTTTTTAAGCCAAAAAAATCTACACATGATCTATCATGCCTTGTTCAATCATTATTATATTATGGAATCTTAGCATGAGAGCAGAGTCATGAATAATTATTATAAACAGATTGAAATTACGCAGAAGTGGATTTTGAAAGTTATGTTGAACAAAAGGAACTGTTATCCTACGGCAAATTTATTTTTATCATACAGTAATATATTTAACAAAAAATCCAAAATTGTTACATACTCTCAGCCACAACCATCAAACGCGATTCAAGGAAACCTCTGCACCAATTCCTAGACTAAATAAAACTATCAGCCAAAGATCATTCTATTTTCTATGCTCAAAATTTTATAATGTTATTCCTGCTAACTTTAATCATATAAAATGTAAAAATCAACCAAGGCTACAAATCCATAAGTCTGTTGACCCTAAAAATCTATATGTTATTTGATAATAAAATGATGCAAATTTATACATTTGACTATTATACTATTATAGGAAATTTGTTGTATTAATATAGTTCAACTTCCGTTAAAACCCAGGCACAAGTGTACACCTTTTTGGGTATATTATGTTTATTGGACATCAATCGGAGACTTTGTTCTGTTGCATAATCTTCAACAGAATTCAGGTCCTCTATCATTTGTGCTGGATCGATAAATATGGGTAGCGTTGTACAGAGTGATCACAGGGCCACTGTTAATAAGGAATTTCTTGGATGGTTACAAATATAGTTTATAGTATGTGTCTGGCTATGCTTAGTTTTCAAAGTAGATTTTACCATACTTAATTTCGTTTTCTCTCAAAGGATCTCAATAATATCCTTACCGCTTTGGCCGAGGTTTGCTGAAATTAAGTACGTATAGACGGCCTTCCGGAATCATTGAGAAATTGAGATGAAATAAGAGAAATGCTTTAATGCTAACATCACAAATCACGGTCTACGAGTATATAGATCACCGTAATTTTCCTTTAGGAGCTCTGAGTTTTTGCAATTTAAAATTATAGCGTTACATCTGTACAAAAAGATTCAAATGTCTAAACTGGAGACCCAAATCGTCTTCTTTCTTTAGTCGTGATTGGCACGTTTCTTTCAGGGTTAGTCGTAGTAGTACCGAGATCAGATACTTCCCAAACAAGACTTTTTCCTCGGAAGCGCTGCGGGAGATTGAAAGAAACAACAAAATTTTGATGCGAAAAATCGTATCAAATACCAAGAGAAAGAACCAATACATTGCCCCTCCAAAATGTGCTCCAGTCAAACTGAGCAGTGCTGCGATTAACAGAAGAAGGTTAAACGAAAAAATCGCACGAGACAATCAAATCCTTCTTAGGAAAATCCAAAATGCCAAACCGTGTTTGCATCACAAGTAGTATTTATTTACACGTTTATGCTGTAAGTGTTTTGTAATAAACTATTTTAATCTTTGTGGTTATTATTATCGACGACTTTAATGTGCGAAATAATCAGCAGTGTCAGCATCTCGTGGATGCAATCTTATAATTAAATCTTTAGGTCAACATCATAACACCATAGTTATGTTAGGAGATGGAACTGCAACTAGTAATGTCTGTTGTACTTTGCAAATGTTAAATTGAGTTGCCTAAGTCAACACAAGGCTGAGCTCAATCTTCAAATACTTACTGCTACAGGGCCTTATTTTTCCAGAACCTCCAGAAAAACAGTAAATCACACACTTGTGCAGTAGAATATTATTATTGGCACTTTTACGAGGGTGGTCCCAGAAGTATCCGACCTGACCTTAGAGATGGCGATAGTTGTTCGAAAAATATCATTGTATTAGAAAGTATGCAACCTATAAAGCCTATGTGTCAAGTTTGAAGATGCCACGTTGTTTAGTATTTGTTTGGCAGCCATCAATAGCGTTTTCAGTGAATTTGTGAAAATGGAGAAAATTGGTCATCGTTATGTGGTACAATACTTTTATTTCAAAGGCCTCAGCCCAACCAATATAAAAGTTGAACTGGATTCTACTCTGGGTAAGTCTGCCCCTTCGTTTACAACAGTAAAATATTGGGTAGCAGAGTTTAAACGAGGCCGTATGAGCTGCCAAGACGAGCATCGCAGTGGTCGACCAAATCAGGTGACGACTCCAGAAATGGTGAAGGAAATTGACAAAGCGGTACTGAATGATCGTCGACTGAAAGTGCGCGAGCTAGCAGACATAGTAGGCATTTCAAAAAGTGCGGTTCATCGCATATATTGTCTAAAAATTTGGGCATGAGAAAGCTGTGTGCAAGATGGGTGCCGCGATTGCTCACAATCAAGCAAAAACAGTGTCGTGAAGATGTTTCAATAGAGTGTTTAGCAAAGTTTCACGGCAACGAAGCAGAATTTTTGCGTCGTTTCATAACCACGGATGAAACATGAGTCCACCTCTTCACACCCGAGACAAAAGAACAATCAAAACAATGGACTCAAAAGGGACAACCGGCTCCAAAGAAGGCGAAGGTGCAGCAAGGTTATGGCGTCAGTTTTTTGGGATGCGCGTGGCATAATTTTCAATGACTATCTTGAAAAAGGTAAAACTATCAACGGCGAGTAGTATGCAACGTTTGAGCGATAAAATCAAGCAAAAACGGCCGCATTTGGTTTAGAAGAAAGTGTTGTTTCATCAAGACAATGCACCAGCTCACAAATCCGTTATTGCAATGGCCAAAATTAACGAATTAAAGTTTGAATTGCTACCTCATGCACCCTATTCACCAGATTTAGCCCCCTCGGATTACCTTCTGTTTCCAAACTTGAAAAATGGCTCAGTGGTCAAAGATTTTCCAACGATGAAGAAGTGGTGCCGGCAGTTAAAGGCTATTTTGAGGAGCAAGACGGTTATAAAAAGGGTATCGAACTTATTGAACATCGCTGGGAAAAGTGTATAGAGCTCAAAGGAGATTATGTTGAAAAATAAATAAATTTTTTTACAACATTGTGTTTTCTTCGTTGGGTCGGGTGCTTCTGGGACCTCCCCCGTATATCTTGATGCGCATAGCACCAAGGGATTCAAGATGCGAGGATGTCCCGAAAGCTTTCGATCAGATATTACATGCTGCTCTAGTATGCAAGCTTCCATCTTATTGCCTAAAACAAGTTATGCAAATGCAACTGTCTCTCAGGCTGCAGATATCCTTTGTCATCGCACAATGCAGGTGTTCCCTAGAGACTGGTCTGGGATCCAATATAATTTCTATTATATATCAACGTTATTCTCTCCTGTATGGTCAATCCGATCCACAGATTTGCTGATTACAGCATTCAATATGCAGCAATTCAGAGCACCAAGCCGACCTCTGCCGGTGAGCTGGAGAGAAGAAGACTAGCAGCGACTCCTCTCGGATGAGATATCTGAATGTTGCCACTTGGGGCTTAATAATATCTAAGGCATGAGAAATGTGAAACAATCTGCATGGGGAGGTTTTTCTCAGTTCTGCTAACCTTAGGCAGCTCCAAAATCGGATTAACAAGGTGTCTCTAACCTCCTTGCTGCTCCGGTATTTGGGCTTTTATCTTAGCGGCTGTTTGAGTGTAAAAAGCTTCATAGGAGCAGAAGAGGAATGGAAGAGTCAAAAAGGTGGTAGTGTTTCCAGGCTTCGTTTCCACACTACTACGTTACAACTAGTGATTTATTTGTAGCTATTTTATCAAGATGTTAGTATTTCGTTAGTTCGCGTACGAGGGCCACGAGAACTGATTGCGCATCGTGCCCGCGAATACGTTCCACTTCGAATACTCTTGGCCAGTCTGCCATTACGCATCGCTTACGTTTCCCCTTTCTGTCGGTGTTAGTTGTGTGTTTATACTGCCGATTTTGAAGTGTACCCAGTAATTTGATTTTTAAATACAAAAAAGATTTATCTGCTAATTCATCATCAGCTTGTTGATTTAGGCGCGCTGTTCAAATCCGCCGGCTGAGCCTATTCTCCAGCGACGTCGTTCTTCATCACGACAACGCTTGGCTTCACGTAGTGGCAAGAACATATACTCAAGTGGACAAGTTTCATTAGGAATTACTGGGTCATCTAACATAATGCCCTGAATTAGCACCTTTCATCTTTTTCTAAAGCTTCAGGAACTGATTGATAGAAAGCGCACGTTGGAAGAAATCGTGGCTAACTAGTCTAACAGCCAATCGCTAGCGTTCTGTGACGACGGGACCCAAAAGCTGGTGCTATGACTTGACAAATGTTGGTTGAAAAATCAAACGAGCTTCATACAAAATGGAAACTGGCTAGTGTGTGCCCTACTTTCAAAGCTGGGGAACCTAGTAAAACACAAAATTACCGAGCTATATCTATATTGGATAATTTTGGTAAGGTATTTGAGATATCTGTATACAACTACATCTATCCTTTGACCTCGCATCTGATATCTGAGACGCAACATGCATTTATGCGCAATCGCTCTACTACTTCTAACTTAACTGAAATCACCCAGGAAATTGTAGAGGTCTTAGATAATATGGGTCAGATGGATGTGGTCTATACGGATTTCTCAAAGGCCTTCGATAAGGTTAGTCACCAAAAAATCATAGGTAAACTTCACCATTTTGGTTTTAGCAATCATTTATTGGATTTCACTCCTTCTTACTTGCAAGATAGAAATCGGTACGTTTCTTACAATGGTTTCAAATCTTCACAGTACTCGGCCTCACCCGGTGTACCGCAGGGATCAAATTTAGTCACTTTTCTCTTTCTTTATTTTATCAATGACCTCCGTAACTGCTTAACCTGTCATTCTCTGTTGTTGGTCGATGATTTAAAAATATATGCTCAGATTAACAGCATTGATGACTGTCAGATCTTGCAAGCTGACCTGAATCATATATTTGAATGGTGTTCAACTAATAAATGACTTTTGAATGTTAGCAAATGCAAAACCTGTTCTTTTACCAGGAAAATGAATCCAATAGTTTTTGATTAAACACTGGAAGGTGTCAGTTTGGTGCGTTGTTCAGAAGTAAGACATTTAGGTGTGTTGTTTGATGTTAAATTAGAATTTAGAGGTCATATTACTACAGTAGTATCATCTGCTATAAAAAGCCTCGGTTTTTTGATACAAAACTGTAAATCGTTTGGTAGTAAGTAAGTAAGTAAACGGTACTGAAGGCTTTGTACTGCACCTTGGTGCGTTCTAAGCTGGAATATGCATCTAGTGTATGGCATCCATATTGCCAAATCTATACTAATGAAATTGAAAGTATACAGAGGAAATTCCTTAAATACTTGACTTTCAAATTAGATGGTGTTTATCCCAATCGTGGGACTCCCCAATCAGCGATGTTGCTCAGGTTTGAGATGCATCCTCTTCAGCTGAGAATGGTTTGTAATAGTTTGAAATTCCTTTACAAACTGGTACACAGTGATGTTGATTCTTCAGCTTATTAGCTAAAATTGGTTTTCATGTACCGTCCCGCATTTCCCGAAGATTTCTCGTTTTTTCTTAAAAACACCAAATTCTAATATTATGATTAAGTTACCCGTGTATTTTATGTGCTCCAGCTTTAACACCATAGCTGATAATTGTGACATTCATCATGATGAAGTCTAGGACATATTAGCTGTATTCCGCGACTACTATTATTCAATCTATAGCATTTAAGACATGTCGGTGATTAGGTGTAGCTATTCACTTTTTCTTTCATCATTTTTCAGAAATTGGGCGAGCTATGATTGTAGTTAGAAATAATGTAACATCAAATTGTATTCAATTACTTTGTCCTTCAAATGGATGTATCTGTTGGGCAATAATCAATTTGTGATACAATCTATGTTCATAAACAGAAGCTTCTCTGACTACATGACAAAACAGCCCATACTTAAAAAATGACCCATTTCGGTACAAGATTTCTCACCTGGTAGATATCTTCCGTCTCCGATGACGAAGTTCGAACTCTTCCACTCCAATCTGTGCTCTTACTCGAGTTCCCGCTCGATGAAGAGTTGCTCAGTGCCCTTAGCACTGAGTTCTTCCTTGTACAGTTACTCAGGTTCACGCATAACCTTTTCATTTCTTCGTCTGTTGAGGCTTTTATCCCCTGCAAAAGGAAGAGCAACGTCAAGTGTTAAAATGGAAAATCGTAAGTCACTGCTAAAGCGTGTGTATTTTCGTGTACACTGATATCACCGTATTCAAAGAGATACCACGTTAGCAGTGACGTACCATGCATTACGTTATTCTTGGACATTCTGGTATTTGACTACAGTTAAGGTAAAAAAAACTAATGGAAACAATCCTATTCATTATGTTGAAAATTACAGGCCAATCCAGATGAGATATATGATTTCCAAATAGAGTTGAATAAATGACGTCAAGTAGGTTGCATCTGCACGTGAAAAGGGGTAACTTCCAATATGCTACGAGGGATGTCTTTTAAGTTTTGCATATAGAAACATAGTAGGCCGCGCGGATCGAACGTCACCACTGAATATTAACCTCACTCTTTAGTAAACTGAAATTCAAAGTTTCACAAAAATACGTGCAGTATTATCACTACAGTGAATTTTTAAGTGTTACCAAGTCATTAGAAAAATGGAACTCAACCGAAAACATTTTCGCGCCATAATTTATTACAACTTTCAGAGACAATTATCGCAGCAAGAATGTCTTGCTGAGGTACTGTCTGTTTTCGGCAACGAAGTGACACATCAGTCGACAATTTCCCGTTGGTTTAGACAATTCAAACGTGAATGGGTGAGTCTTAGCGACGATCCCAGGGTGGGTGCACCAAAAACGGCAGTCACCCAGGAAAACGGCGATGCTGTGCGCAGACTCATCATTGAAGATAGACATGTGACATATCGCGATATTAAGACGTCCTTGAAGATCTCAAAGACCTCAATTCAAAAAATTTACTTGAAGAATTAGGAGTAAGGAAATTAGTTTCTAGTTGGATACCCCACCTGTTGACTGAAGAGCAGAAAGCGGCCAGGGTTAATTGGTGTCAAAAAACGCTTGGCCGTTCCAATTCCGGAAACTCAAAGAATGTGTACAGCATTGTTAGTGGTGATGAATCGTGGATTTACTGTTATGAACCAGAAAATAAACGACAGTCGGCTGTTTGGGTGTTCCAAGGTGAAGAAAAGCCAACAAAAGTCATCCGTTCTCGAAGTGTTTCGAAAAAGATGGTCGCGACATTTGTGTCAAAAGCGGGTCATATTGCAACAATTCCTCTTAATGAGCAAAGAACTGATACTGCGGATTGGTATACCACCATTTGTTTATCAAAAGTCATCACCGAGCCTCGAAAAATTAACCCCGAAAGAAGAATCATCCTCCACCAAGACAATGCAAGCTCGCACACAGCCCAAAAAACGAGGCAGTATTAACGGAAGAAAATCCTAACGATTTCTTTACTTTCCCGAAAATTAAAAACCGACTGCGTAGTCAAAGGTTCCAGTCACCAGAAGAAGCAGTAGTTGACGTATTAAAAAATGCCGTTTTGGATCTGCCAGCAAACGAGTGGAATAAGTGCTTCGAAAATTGGTTCGAGCGCATGCAGATGTGTATTAATCTTCGTGGAGAATGCTTCGAAAAACAATAAAGTCATTTAAAACTACCTACCGTGTTGTTTTATTTCCATATGCAAAACCTAAATGAAATTCCTCGTATAACAGAGGAATTAAATGGATCAAGTCGGTCGAATGGGCTGATTCACAATGTTGCGATCTAGAAATTTTGTCCGCTCGCCTAGCGACCTTGACTCCTACTTTCGTTGCGTTTCACGTGGGTATTGAAAATAGAATGACGATATGTAAATATTAGTCCTAAGGGCAAATGAATAGAAAAGTCGATGTGTGAACTATGTGTGATCTACCCTCGCCCAATCCCCTACAATCCTTCACCCCCAATCCTTTACCGTTCAAAAATGTTTCGCATATTTGGGCAGAAGTCTCTGAAACATCAAAAAACGAAGTTTGGGCGATTTTTATTCTTTTGGCTTCTTACCGTTGCGCTGCCCTTGCATTACACGTTCCACTGAATCCGAATTTGTTTTTGTGATATGCATGTCATATGACATCCAAAAGACATATCTTCTTTCCGAAATACTTCCTCGCTAATTGGAGTTGGAAGTAAAAGCACATGTTCTACAAAAATTGTTTTTATTAAAAATGAAGCACATTCGAATTTAATCGTGAAAATTTTGGAAAATGAGATATTATCTTTTTTGGTTATTATATGGCATGTACATCACGAAGCACCATGTTACTCGTTTCCGTCGTTCTGTCCGTTAATCCTTGAAATTTTTGGAAATCGGCTGTGACGTCGACGTGTAGGGCAAAAAAACAAGTAGAATTCGCTGAAACTCAATTTTTTGACGTTTAACAGGCTCCTGTACATTTTCAGGTAAATCTCATTTTTTGACGGTAATATATGTATCTATTAGTACAGACTCCACAGCTCATAGATTTGCGCTTCGAACTTGGAGAAATATTTGCAATTTTCATATACCAGACCCTTTGTGAGTCTGACTGCACCGCCGGCGTACTGGATCTCTAGCTATAGTATCGTGGCAGGCGCTTATGGCATGGTTGACTGGTGTGGTTCGGCACCGTTGTCAATACTTAGGGTGGAAAAGAAACTAGCGTTATCAAACGGGTGAAGACTATGGAGTAGGGACTAATTGTATGGATCGATTTAGCTGACTTGATCCAACTATTTTTTTTGTTATAGGTATATGTTTGTAGCTAACTCATAGAGACTAAGTTTTACCGAACGTAATCCTCTATGAAATGATAACAGTGTTGCATGAAAAGTGCAGAGTCAACCTACTTGACGCTATTGTTTTTAGATTATCCCATCTTCCATTTAATTGGACACATAGAATCTGTTCATCGCAATTAGCATAAAGCGTTTAGACATAGTGAAGTGAATTTTGCTTACTTCATGTCATATGTTTTTCAAATCATTGAAAACCTTAGTATTGAGATACTCGTACGGGCAAACGTTTACGGAACTTGAGTCTATTATGCTTATCGTGGTGAGCATGTTGTATGACCAAAGCGAAGTCTCATGTTTTGTGAAAACAGCCCAGGAAGTTGATCCACAAAACTGCGGTTTTAGTATAATTTTGACTCGTTTGTCTATCAATGCCTACCAAAGTGACAGCCTGGTGTCGACACAATTGAAATAATCATCGGTAAAAACTTCTACGTTCATTAGGATTGTGCTGTTCTTTGCAAATTATATAGCAAAAGTACCACTTCTTAACACCACAATATCTGCGAACACTTGAATTAAAAAAAAATGAGCTTAGTGATAGAATTGCCAAAAAATTTAATTATGTCAAGTGCACTTGTTCGATTCTCACAGACTCTGAAAATTAGTTGACAAGTAAATCCTTGACCAGCTCCTTCTACCGCAATCGCCATATTTATCTCCCACTGACCCTTCCTGTGAGGTATCTCAAAGAATAATAGTCCAAAGGATATTGCTGATTTTAAAGAAAAAAGCTCGGCTACGCGACTAGCTTACCTCTAGTTTTGTCCTAATCCTATCGTTGATAATCTTGAGCATATCTTCAGGAGGTGTATCGTTCTTCCCCTCCAACGTTTCGTTGATCCCATGCAACAACTCCAGGAGAAGATCTTTCACCGACATGTCGATGTAGGTCTCCAACGATTTGATCTTCTCAGGAGTGTAGGTCATGCTGGTGTAGAGCAACAAGGCATCGTCCACCAGCGAATCATAGTTGGTCACGAGGAGCCTCTTGTCGCGCATTGGCCAGATGGGCTTAGGAATGGGCGAGTCCACTTTGCCTTCGGGGATGGTCGTCAGAGTACCGCCACCCGAGGAACTGGACTGCGATGGCACTGGTTTGTTTGGTTTCGTCCCGTTGCACGGTGCAACTCTGAAACAGTACAAGATACGTAAATTATTTGATATTATTTTTTTCCGGGGTAGATCTGTTCTGAAGTTGTTGATGAAGGAGGCAAGCAGATGTTGATTATGTTGACCTTTCAAAGTCCGAACTTTACGTCCTTCCTGAGCCGTTCTGCGCTGTTAGCAATGAAGTTATCAGTAAGTAGTTGCGTCTGTGATAATAGCAATTGCGAAGCAACTAAAATGTAAACTTACTTAATTGTCTTGACGAATGCGGGATTCTGTTCGAGAAGCACCCCGGCAACGTCCTCCATCAGCTTGAGATGGTCCTGGTGCTGGTAGATCAGATCCAAGGGACCATCTCCGCTCCCCCCGTAGCCAGAACTACTCCCCGATTTCTCCCTTGGCTGAGGAGAATTCGATGGGGGCGTCCTCTGGCGACTCTTGGGGGAGGGTGACGATGGTTGTGTGGCAGCGTGGGCATCCAAAAACAGGGGGTTCACTCTGAAACAAAGAAAGTCGCGTTTGAGAAATGAGTCTCAACGGAAGGTGAAGGTAAACATCAACTCTGGACAAGATGAAATGCATTGCTACGCTGCAATTTATGAAAACATTTAGAGACACTCCGTGCAGGTCTTGACAACCATTATGTACAACGGTTTATCTGACTGCATTCCTCCAAAGGTGGACCGTCTTGAAATTTGTGAAATATAAAGTTGGATATTCTGACCCTAAACAAGAAAACCGTGACGCTGGCTAGGACACGTTTACAGAATGCGGTCTTCTAGGGATGCCGAAAAAGTGCTGTTTGGTGGAGAAGTCAGTAGAAGAAGAAGAGGAAGACCAAGTAAGAAATGGCTCCAAAGTGTCAAACAGGATATACGGAGACTAGGCCTACCAGAGTTGTCAGAAAACGCCAGTGGCCTTCAGGCCTGAAGCGCAGGGTGATTCATAAGTCGTGAAAAAAAAATGAAACATCACACACAGGACCGCGTTTTCTATGTAACATTTTTTCCGCAAGGGCTTCATTAAAAAGTTACGGGGTGTATTCTTTTCATATTTTCAAAACCGTCCACTGGAACAAACTAAAATTTAATATGTCGATTTAACTAAGTATCATCCATATTCAGAAGTCTTTACTTAAAATAAAAGATACAAGGAATTAGTGCCATTATTTTTACAAATAAAAATAGTACGCCACTCTTTTTTCTGGAAAAACGCAGTCTTTCGGATGTTGCCTTCAAATTTCTATAAATAATTATTCTTGTGTTTCTTCGTAGAATGCATTGTTTTCGTAAAAATAAAAAAAAAAGATTAGTGAAAAACTTTGGGGTAGGTTGGCGTCTGTTAGGAAATCTACGTTGATACTCTCAAGAAGCCAATAAAGCATTTCCATTACAGAACCCGTACTTAAAACAACACTCAAAAATTGACAAAAAAAACTTTTGACCTGACTTTTACAAAAAAAAAAATTGTAGTAGTAACGATAACATTGACAAACTATCTTTCAAGAAACGTCAAGTAGGTATCAAGGCCTCTTATTTTATTTTGAAATCAATTGTATCTTGGCTCTTCATGAATGATCCAATTTGTTTTATTTTTATTTTTACGAAAATAGTGCACTCTAGGTAAAAATACACAAGAGTAAGTATTTGTAGAAAATTGAAGGCATAATTCGAAAACTAGCACGTTTAAAAAAAAAGACAGTGGCGTACCATTTTTATTCGGAAAAACAATGCAACTAATCCCCTGTATCTCCGCCAGTGGTGCACAATAATTTTAAGTAAAGACTTTTGAATCTGGACAATCCTTAGGCAAAACCACGTAATAAATCTTAGTTCATTCCAGTTTACGGTTTTAAAGATATTGAAAAGAAAAATGTTATTCATTCTTAAACTTCATGCCTTGGAAATATTACACTGCTATTCTAAATACTTGTAAATGTCCCCAGCAACTGTGAAGTCTATCTCTATGCTAACGACACTGCATTGCTAGCCCAGTCTTGTTCTGACAACCAGGTTCACGACAGGCTGCAGAGTGCGGTGGAGAAAGTATTGGAGTGGGCTTATCGGTGGTTGATCAAAATTAATGCTTTTATTGTACTGAAAGACGCCGCGGTGCCCCCTCAGAAATATCAGTGAATGGAACTCGTATACCATGGGAGCAATCTGTCAGGTATCTTGGAGTCATCATTGACAAGGAGTTGACCTGGCAGAAACATACTGATATTTTGAAAACAAAATTCCAAATTACCTTTCGGCAGCTTTATCCTCTGTTGTGCAGAAATTCAAAATTAAGTTTGATCAACAAGATTCGGTTGTATAAAATGGTCATAAGACCCGCAATCACCTACGCATGCGCGGCTTGGTGTTTTCTTGCCAAGTCGCTCATGCAGAGACTGCAAGTCCTCCTACGCCCCTTGGTACGTGTCAAATGAGACCATTCACAGAGACCTTGATATCCCATATCTAAGGGATTACGTAAAACAACAGGCGCAGCGGTGTTATAATCAAGCGGAATCGCACAGCAGCCTTCTGTTGTGTGATTCAGTAGACTACACAGTCGAGCAAGTTCGCAAACATTCCAGGCCGCGCCTCGCACTATGATCAAAATTAAATTGTAAATTCAGACCAGCCAAAATTATTTCAGTATACAAAACCGATCAAAATTATTTTTTTGAGTTACAAAATAATTCGAGTAGTCAAAGCAATAATACTTAATCTATTTCAAATGATTACTTCTTCTCTTTGCTCTATTTCTTCATTCCTTTCTTTCCTTCTTTCCATTTTCCCCTTAAACATGTTTGGTATCTGGGTAGCCAGACTTGACAGACTAACAGACCAACGAGACTTTTAACTAAGAGCAAAGGTCCACCGGACCGCTCTGACAAATAATGACGAAGAGTAGTACTTGTAACTGTCTAATTATTGTACGTCATTTCACTTAAATTATGCACTTTTTCAATAGACGAAGATTTACTTCAATTTTCAGTTGACTGAATATTTTGTATGGATACAACATGAACAATGAATTAGTTAGCCCCTGTTCTTTCCGGTATTTCCCAACGTCACGACTCTATTCAATTCCAATCACTATCTAGGATTATTCGATAGCAACATGTGTTGCATGCATCCATCAATTCCCAGCATTATAAAATTTCTTCCGTTATCCATTTCATCGTTCCTAATATATTGTTATTGGAGCTTTCACTACCTGTTGGTTATTATAAAATACATGCATTTTAACAAATTGATCATAATTACCATACCAGTTCATAGCACATTGTGGATTTGTGTTTTTGAGATTAGTAGGAAGGCGCCGAAGATAAAATTAATTACATGTTTCCCATTGCAGGGTCAATAAAAATTATTTTTATTTTAACGTTTTGCATTTTTATGCATTTTTGGGTATACACCTTCGGAATAATTCCTATCCAGGATGTTATTAAAACAGTTACTGGTGCCTGCGGCGTTGTGTTGACAGTCATATCTCAATTATTTAATAAATTTTTGTCCTTCACACCCATTGATTTTATTATAATTTTGTTAAGCATTCACGCATATACTTGCAGGGAGAGGTACTTGTGCGTAACCAGTCGGTCTCTAAAAAACCTTTTACAAGGATGATTGTGGATAATAATATACTTACAACTAACTAACGTATGTTCTAAAGTTTTGGCTCAAAGTTGATTTGCTTTAATTATAATAAGCACAAAATAATATCAAGTTGCCTTTGGAAACAAAAGTTTGTTTACTTACTTTACTGTCAGTTGATAATTATTTATTAGTTTTTTCTTTAAGATGCCGTATAAATTAGATATAAGAAAGGGTATCTTCAAGAGAACATTTAGATAGTATATTATGTAGTCTAGTTAAGCCTTAGGTTGTAATTGATGTTTAAATATATTTCTTCTTAAAAAAAAATCCGATAAATATTTTGTGCCAAAACTTTTAGGACATACTACACGTTACGTTGTTACACAAAGCAAATACGCATAGAATACTTTTCGTACTTATAAGGATAATAATAATAATAATAATAATAATATTTATTTACTCTAAAATACAGGGAATATAATCAGATTTCTTTGATACCCCTTGATATGAATCAAGCGAATTTCGGGCGGTAATATGATGCAAATTTATTTAAATAATATCGCCAAGCAAATCAACAAAAAATTATTCTCGCCCCGGAATTAATTTCTTAAGGTTACTCTAAACTTGTCCTCAGTAGCCTCTTCTCTCAGTCAGCAATCTTCAAGCTTAAATTCCCAGTAAAACATTTTTTATGTTGTCGACTGTCCGACTTGGAAGAATGTTACAAAATCAGTGTTTCATCGATCATCATCGATTTTTTTATGGAATATGATATTTATTGAAGGTGTAACCTGGACGTGATGAGCAGATACTGACTGTACGAACCACAGTAATTACTGATTATATAACATTTGCTTTGAACCGCAGACCTTCCTTCGAAGACTCCGAATAGTATTTGTGGGGTAGTTTATTTGAAGAGAGTTCTTATTTATTTTTTAATAACGCACTATTTTTTTATTTATTTTTATTTAAACAAAACAGTTTAAAGGAACGGTGCAATATTGCTAACTCTATTGAGATCTTGAATCGTGATGGCTCAACAAAGGCTAAAAAGCTAAAGCTGGGCTAAACATCTATTTTTGCCGTATAAACGAATGAGTTGTTTTTTGAGAAAACATTGTTTCTTTTACACCGAAATAGCCGCGCAGGCAGAACCATAAATGCCAGGACACCGCGACTGCTCTGAGGATCCCAAAGAAATGTTGTTGAGGAGCAAAGCCCGTTGGTCTGGCCGTAGAAGAGAACTAGATTGCCGACGCCCGCCGGTGCGAAAGGATCCCGAGACTGTCTGCTAGAGAAGAGTCATCGATCAATGGGACAGTCCCCCTTGGACAGCATCGAGCATGAATAGTGTAGCAGCAGCACCCAAGACAAGCAGCCCTAAACAAATAGTCTAGCAGTGATAACCTCCAGGACTCTCGTCGAGAGGAAGTCGCTGCCAGTCTTCTTTTTTCCAGCTCACCGGTAGAGATCGGCTTGTTGCTCTGGATTCCTGCATGTAGAGTGCTATCATCAGCAAAGCTGTGGATTGGGTTGATCTCACAGGAAAGGAGGTTGTTATGTAAGAGGGTGTAAATGGTCATGTTTCATTAATGCCCAAGCGGTGCACAGTTCATTCAAGTGATCTGCAAGTTCATTCCTAAACGTATGTTTCAAGGTATTGATCATATGCTTGTTATTGTAATCATCCAAAGGTTTTTGGTCCTGTTCCATGATAGGAAGGCACGTAAGACCTTCTTACATTTTACATTATATTCCGGTGCTCTATTTTGTTTTATTCGTATATTTCTCAATAGATACAAGATCCAATTACAGAGAAACACTGTACAAGTGATGAAAAATATACAGGGTGTCCCAGAAGTCGACGTCAAGCCGAAACCGGGTGATAGGCAAAGGCACAACACCTAT